GAAAGAAAGAAAGAAAGAAAGAAAGAAAGAAAGAAAGAAAGAAAGAAAGAAAGAAAGAAAGAAAGAAAGAAAGAAAGAAAGAAAGAAAGAAAGAAAGAAAGAAAGAAAGAGAAAGAGAAAAAGAGATAAGCTTAGTAGAATGGAGAAGGCATGGAGGAGTTGAATATATTCAGTGGTAGAAGGACTAATCACTGAGACAATTTCTCATATGAAAACCCTCTACCCAGATGCAGATCTTCAATAATTTTGCAACTTATTGTCTTAGACAGTTCATTGGGATATTGAGAGATTAGGTGATGTGCTTAAGGTATCACAGCTATATTAGAGACAGGAGCTGAATCCAGGCATTCCTTACTCTGACACACTCTATCCATTCTATCTACTACTCTGTGCTGCTTCTTTGTCACAAATTATGAAAGAGAGGAAGAGAGAGAGAGAGAGAGAGAGAGAGAGAGAGAGAGAGAGAGAGAGAGAGAGAGAGAGAGAGAGCATTTTATTATACTTTAAAGTTTTCAAAATGCTTTACTTATGTTAATTCATTGAATCTTCACAACAACCCTGTGAGGGAGATAGCATTATTATCTCCATTTTACATATGGGAAAACTGAGGCACAAGGAAGTTAAGTGACTTAACCAGGGTCACACAGTCAGTAAGGATTCTGAGGTACCATTTGAACTCAAGTACCGTAACTCCAAGCCTTGCACTCCATCTACTATACCACCTAGTTGCCTAATGTAATGAGCATTGGATTCTGTATTTTTAGTCATTGAATGTGGATAGCAATCTATGAAAATGCTCTTTCCTTTTCACAGTTCACTGTTAGAATGTTCAATTCCTTTTGTGTCCAAATAGACTGACCAGATTTATTAGGATAAAATGATAAATTAATTCAATGCAGGTGAGCCAGAAGAATTTTCCTCTCTCTAGTTTTTTCACTTGTGCACACAGCTTAACTAAGAGCCACAGTATCTTAGCCAAAAGACCTTTCATAAATGTATTTATGGAATTATATTACATTGAAATATGATAAACTTACACTTTTATATGTTATGAAAACAGACTCTATTCAAATTAATTTGTTTAAAAATTCTATCCAATCTAAGACTACAAAGGCCTCATGATGGAAAATGCTATCCACATCCAAAGAAAGAACTATGGAATTCGAATGCAGATCAAAGCATACTATTTGCTATTTTTTCCTCTTCTGTTGAGTTTTGTTTCCTCTTTCAGGTGGTTCCTCTTATGGATTCTAAATTCTTACTTACTACATCACTAATGTGAAAATATGTTTAATAGGAATGTATATGTATAGCCTATATCAGATTGTGCACCATCTTGGGAAGGGTGGTGGAGAGGAAGGGGGAGAAAAATTTAAACTCAAAAGCATATGGAAGTGATTGTTGATAAATCAAAATAAATTAATTTTAAAAATTAAAAAAATTAAAAAATAAAAATTCTACCCCAAACTGATTTTATATTTATTATAGTTAAATATGAATGGAGAAAACTCATCATATGATTCATATTTGAAACAGATATTTAAATTATTTTGTTTGTTTCTTATTTATACCAAAACATTCTGAAATATTTCACATGTTTTTAATACTACATTTCATACTATTTGACCCTAAGGAAAATGCATACTTAATGAACAGCATGGACTTCAATGTAATAATTGTTTTCACTTACAAAGAATTTTCCAGCTAAATATGGTTCAGCATGACACCACTATCTGTTTAGCTCCTCTATAATAACCCTGTAAGTCAGGAATGCAAATGCTATTTATGTCTGTTTTACAGATAAGCAACCTGGGCTTAAAGGAATAAAGTGCCTTGGTCAAGGCTCCACAACTATCAGACTTAGGGCTGGATTCTTTCAAGACTCAGCTCAAATGTTAAATTCTGCAAACTACCTTTCTCAGATCCTCTCTCTAAAGCTTCCCCCACCCCCCACTGTGCCTTTTCTCTAAAATGCAATCCAGTTACAACGTTATCTTGTATGTACCTAGTTGTTTGCATGTCGTCTCTACCATTAGAATATGAGCTCCTTGAGGTTAGGGACCATGTTTTTGCCATTCTTTTGTATCCCTATCACTTAGCATGATGCCTGACATATAGTAAGCACTTAAGTCAAAAGTATGAAATGCCATGATTATAGGCTTAGACCACTGTGCACTAGGAAATGAAGATGATGATCAGGAAAGGAAAATGAGTTGTATTAACTGTTTATTGGCTCAGGTATGAGTCATTTTTTCAAAGTATAAATAAAACTTAATCCTACATTGTATTCCGTATTTTGTTAGCCTTAGTCTTTGCATGGGAGCTGTTCAGACAGTAACTAAAATCTGATGTTCTCAGGAAAAACCATGGGTGGGCATAGAAGACAAAGAGAGCACTGACTACTATTAAAAACCTCCAAAAAAAGTTTTTCTTTAAGCCCAGAGTTGTTTTGACATGTTACATATAATATTTATATCTAGAATATGGTTTCAAGTTGATTCATGTACATGTACACACATATATGCATATATATTCATATACGTATATACAT